GGGGGGCTCCCTCAGGCAGACGGCTGGACCTGTACTGTTCACACAGGGCATAGAAGAGAAACTGGAGCCCACTGTGAACCCAAAGGTTACTCCGGGCCCGTCCTGAGATCAGAGCATGGCTCTCCCAGCCTATGCTGTCCACAGCCCCCGCACAACCAAAATGCATTAGCCCCCTGCAGCGCGAAGGGCCCAGTGTCTCCCACTGAAAGGGGAAATCCCGTCCCCTCGCCCCCACCCCAGCGCTGGGACAGGCAGAGCAAGCACCAGCCTCCCCGGGGGACGGTCTGTGAACGAGAGAGGAGTGACTCCACCACAAATGGGTTAGAGGAGAGACTGTCAGGATGGAAGCAACGAAAGTCTAACGACGTCCCGTATTTAACGCCCCCATGTCCCAGGGAGGGGGGGATTGGATACCCCAGGCTGTGCCCCTGTGATCCAAACCCCAGGCAAGCGTGGGCCCCAAGTGTCCTGGCAAACCTTAGAAGCCTGTAACCTGTGCGAAAGCCTGCACTGGCCCCTAGCGGTGCGACCATGCAATCAGGAGATCAGGCAGAGCTTGGATGGCTCGCAGGGTCCACTTCACATCAGCTCTGTTCCCCTCAGTGACGAGGAGGGAGCTATTGCTGCTGGACCATGCCCGGTGCCTGAGGGGTTTCCCTGCTCTGCTGATCTAGGAGTCAAGGCTGATACGTAGCTGGATCTCTGGGTGCCGGCAGCTTCTGCCAAACAGCCTGGGGCCCTGACACCCATCTGATAAGATGGAGGCACATGGAAAGCATGCGAGCAGCAGGACACGGGCTGCGAATCAGCGACCATTTCGGATCCCACAGCGGAGGGGAGCAGATGTGCTGAGCGCCGAGCAGTTCCCACGGAGAACAGTGGAGAATCCAGCGCCATCCTCTATTGAGAACAATGCCAAATTCCCCCTCTACCTCCCATCCTTCCACCGAGAACAATGGAGGGTTCCCCCGTCATCAGCCATCGTCCCTCTGAGCCCCACAGGAGCTGAATGATTTTGCAACATCTGTGGGCCATAACTCTCCTGCTGCCAGATCTTCCAGCTGCGCTGCTGCCACGTCACAGCTCCAAGGATACTGTGCACGCAGCTGTGCTCTGCCTGCTCCATTCAGCAGCCGAGCGGGTCAGCTCTATGGGGGAGGTGCAGGCATACTCCGCAACCTGCCTGGGCCAGCTTGTTCAGGGGCACTGGAGACATTTGATGGGGGACCATGAAGAGCTGTGGTCTAGATATTAGCGCCAACGGGCCGGTCGTGGGTTCAAGTCTCAACCCAGGCACTGAGTGAATTGCATCGACAAACGGTTTAACATGCAGATTGTTGTCTAGATCTACCAGTCAGTGGCCCCTCAGAGAGACTATCTAGCACTCTTCATCCATAGATTCCCCAAGCACTTTGCAAACAAGGCCAGTAACGTTATCTCCATTTTACAGATGGGGAAACTGAGGCACAGAAAGGGGCGGCAACTTGCCCAAAGTCACAGGGGCAGTCTGTGGTAGAACCCCACAGTCCCAGGGATTATCTACTAGGCCGCACTGCCTCCCTGGAACCACTGCCATCCTCTGCGATGTGATTGCAGGGGATTGGAAACCAGTGACCTCCTGCCTTCTAGGCCAGGGTGATGCCTCTCGGTCAATGCCATTTATAGAGATCCCTTCCACGGGAAGGGTTTTCCTTGCTCCCCCCCATAGCACCACCTCTCCTTTCGAGGGGCGCTCTGGAAGGCTGTCTGTGAGATCCACTGGCAGGGTTAGCAAGGACAAGATCATCCCTGCTCTGCACAGGGAATATTCAGGGAGGTGAAAAATAACCCCAGACTGGGTTAACTTTCCTGTGCAGCAGCCGCCTCCATGCTGGGGGCGGGGTGATCCCAGCCTGGGGGTGTCCCTTACAGAGAGCTACCTGGTCCAGTATGTAGGAGGATATTTATTGTGGAATGTCAAGTATCTGCTACCTGGTGCGGAGCAGCCAGCCAAGGGGCTGATGAAAAGCTGCAGCAATGTTGCAGTCCTGATCAAGGCCCCGATCCTGCAAACTGCTCTCTGGGGGGGTCCACAGGGATCCCCCGTTCAGGAGCAGGGCTCAGGATGGCTGGGAATACCAGCCCTCTCACAATGGCAGCAGGGGGTTCAGCCCCCAGAACGCTTTCGATGCCAGCAGAGCAAGTTTTCACACACGTCTCATTTCATTTTCCTTCCTTCATTCCCGTGCAAAGTTTGACGCTTCGGCGTTCAGAGGAGAGCGAATTACCGGCGCCCAAAAAAAGTGAGCCCGCAAGTTGTCCTGGGCGAGCCCCCCCATGTATGCCCCCCAGTAGGAGGATCGGGGCCTGAGTCAGTCCCTTGAATGGAAAAGAACATGGATCCCCTAACCCTCCCCGGCCCCAGTCCCGGTTTCAAAATCTCCAGCATGCCAGTGCTACCCTCCCATTAAAGGCCGAGGGGTGGGGGGGAGGCAGTCTTTATGCTGTGACCTTCACCTTCCCAACATCTGGCTTCCTCCATGTGACTGGATACCCCGCCCCCCAGTCGCCCAAAAAGCAGTCGCCTTTCTAAACATAGCAGATGAGCGCACCGCCCGATCTGGCATGGCTCATTAGTACAGAGCACAGATCTGTACCAAAGGCTCCATGCATCCGTTATTTAAAGCGCCTGCATCCAGTTGGCAGCTCTCTCTTATCACCAGGCGTCTTATAATAACATCGCCAGGATCTATATCGAGCAGACACGCCCTCAGGGTATCTCTTAACCCCTGAGTAATCATCCACTTCTCATGCAAGAACAGAGAAAGATCAGGCTGTACTGTTGCCAGTGGAAATACTCCTCCATAAGCTGGCCTCTCTCTTAAACAGCCATTTTACTGTAGCCACTTTGCTACAACCGTTTTGTTTGACCTCTAGTTGAACACTCTGCACTGTTAGGTGGCTAGTTCTTTTCCTGGTCTGTCAAGACTGGTTTAGCAAGGAAGGAGGGTTTGTGGTTAAGGCTTCGGTCTGGGATTCAGAGGATCTAGGTACAGTTCCTGGCTCTGCAACAGACTCACTGTGTGACCTTCAGCAAATCACCGCATCACTCTGCGCCTCAGTTTCCCCAGCTGTGCAATGGAGATAATAATTCTGTCTTGTCCGTTTAGACTGCAAGCTCTTTGGGGCAGATACTGTCTCATAAGAACAGCCAGACTGGGTCAGGCCAGTGGTCCATCTAGCCCAATGTCCTGTCTTCTGACAGCAGCCAGTGCCAGGTGCTTCAAAGGGAATGAACAGAACAGGGCAATTTTGGGTGAGCCATCCCATCATCCAGTCTCAGCTTTTGGCAGTTGGAGGTTTAGGGACACCCAGAGCATGGGGGTGGGGCCCTGACCATCTTGGCTAATAGCCATTGATGGACTTATCTTCCATGAACTTATCTAGTTAGACTTTTAGCCTTCACAACATCTCCTGGCGAGGAGTTCCACAGGTTGACTGTGCGTTGTGTGAAGAAGTGCTGCCTTTTGTTTGGTTTTTAAACATGCTGCCTCATAATTTCATCGGATAACCCCTGTTTTTTGTGTTATGTGAAGGGTTTGTGTTATGTAATGCTTCCTATTCACTTTCTCTGCACCACTCATGATTTTACAGACCTCTGTCATATCTCCCCCTTAGTCGTCTCTTTTCGAAAGGAACAATCCCAGTCTTTTTAATCTCTCCTCGTATGGAAGCTGTTCCATCCTGCTAATCATTTTCATTGCCCTTCTCTGTACCTTTTCCAATATCTTTTTTGAGATGGGGTGACCAGAACTGCACACAGTATTCAAGGTGTGGGCATGGGCATGCCATGGATTTATATAGTGATGTTATGATATTTTCTGTTTTATTCTCTAGTGATACAAATAATTACTTGCTATCGGTTTCACTGTGCTTTGTTACCACATACATGGGCACTGTATAAAAATCTAAAATAGATTTGACTTTCCTGCTTGAGAGAGAAGAAGACAGAAGAGGACATGGGAATACTGCAAACCCCAATCATTCCAAAATCATGAGTTAGACCCTCCCCCCTCAAAAAAAATTCCTAATATTTGCTTAAAAATCATGATTTATTTAAAAGGGTGGGTACTTTTTTTCTTGTGGTTTCCAGGCCCTTACCACGCCCTCAGTTCGCATTTTCCAGCTTTATTCTGCAACCACGAGAGAGAAACTTTATTTTCTTAAATGAAAACTGAGATGTTTCACAAGCTTACATGACTCCAGGAGCTGGGGCTTGAAGAACCCCTCCCCTCTCCCAATATCTCGAGATTCATGAAAAAAAAATCACAAGAGTTAGCAACGCTGCTGGGAGGCCTCCTCTGATTCGCTGGGTGAGCTTCAGCCAATTACTCACTATCTCTGCCCCTCAGTTTGCCTCATCTGTTACTAAAACAATAAATAGGGTTATAATGCTACTTCCATACTGGCAGGGCCTTGGACGATAGCTGTGGCCAGAAGGCAATGCATTCCCAAGCTCCAGGAAAATCTCGGTGGGCGGTACAGGGCTCATGACACACAGCTCGATGAGGCCGAGTCCCTCCCGGGGAGCAGCCCCAGCTCCCGCACTGTACTTTTCTTCCTGGCTCAGGGAGGTAATGCTTGCCTCTGTGCTTAGACACTGCACAGGGGGAGAGGCGAGCCACAGTTGTCCTGGGCCCTCTCTGCATCTCCTGGGCGGCCTGGTTTGCCCAGGGGCCTGAGCCCCAGGAGCGGGGGGGGGAGGCTGCGATCTCCCATCAGCGCCCAGACACTCTGCCCCTGCCCCCCGTCCCCAGGGGCTCTGCAAAGCCCTCCACAGTGGGGGGGACCTGGCCCCAAGTGGAAGCTGGCTCCGAAGTGGACCCCCCCCCAGGCTCCCCTGCCTGTTTCCCCTTTAAGAGCAGGCTGCGAGCTGCATAGCCCGCGCCGGAAGCAGACGGGCGCGTCGATTTCAGCCTTTCCCGAGCAGCTGCTGCTCCGCGGCCGGGGAAAGGGGGTGGCTGTTGCAGGAGGGGGGCAGCTCCGCGGTGCCCAGCGCCCGCCCCTGAGGAGGGGGCCCGGCCTGCAAGGTGCAGCCCCCCCCCGCCCGCCCTACAGACAGTGAGTAGCTTCCCCGGGGCGCTGCAGAGCCGGGAGCCCCCGCGATCCCTGCAGGGGGGCCCGGGGCAACAGTGTTGCAAATCCGTGTTCCGCTTCCGCTGGGACAGGTCGCTAAAGGAAAGGGGGGGGGGGTGATGCATGCATGCAGGGGGAGACCCTCCCCAATTGCTTTCCCCCACTCTCAAGCATGGGGCTCTGCTAGTCGATTTCCCCCAGAGCTGGTCCCACCCCCAGCCTAACTCGCTTAGCATCTTCTCCAGCGGTCAGAGCAGCTGCTCAGAGCCCATGCCCCATAGAGAGACTTCAGCCTGTCTGCCGGGCGCCCGTGTGCCAGCGGGGCCCCCCTCTACCATTACACCGTGCGGGGGGGGTGACCTTGCGGCTGGAGCGCTCCCATTGGGCGTGCGGGGCGAGTTGTGGTCAGCGGGGCTGAGATTTGGGGGGGTTCTGTGCCCCCTGATCCTGGCTGGTGTGCCTGACACCCGGGTGGGTTTAAAGACTCCCCTTGCTTGGCGTGGCTGCTTCCCTGAAATTCTCAGGGAGCCCCTGGCACAGCGCGGGACGGGACGGCACAAGAGTATCCTCGCCCCCTAGCTAATGAGCCCGACTAGGGTGTGGGGTGACAGCAGAGGGTTTCCTGCTGATCAGAGGGCCAGCTCCAGGGCTGCTGTCTGTGCTGCAGACACCTGTTCCATTAGGAACTGGACTGAAGCCACCCGCTCGCTCCCCGCAGGTCAGTAAATGGCTCTTGGTCGCTACCAGCCTCTGCCAGACTGTAACTGGTGGCACAGGGACAAAGCTCCTTGCAACCCCTTGAGCCAAGCGTTGCTGCTGGTCGGCCGATCGCAGATGCCCCTCAGCCCTGAAGGAGGGGGTGGGGACGCTCCCGCTGCTGGCAAATTATCACTCCTGATTCTGTGTGCTAGGGGCCTGATTTTTGCATTGACGTTGGCTCGGGGTGACATCTGTCTGCCCTGCAGCCAACTTCCTGCCCTAGGGCTAACTCTGATCCAGAGCACCTGCACTTCCTCTTCTCTTCCTGACCTGTCCAGTGTCAGGCTGGGAGTGGGTGGAAGAGGTTATCCCTTCCTGCTTCAACCACAGGTCGTCTTATCTGCTGTCCTGTCGCAGCAGGGACCCTCGAAGGAATGGGACCGGAGCCTACCCCATCCTGACAGCTGCCCCATGCTGCTCCCCTCCCCCGTTCTCCTCGCCCCGTGATAATGGATGAGTGGAAACCCAACGCTCCAGCCAAACAGTTTGTCCTGCGGAAAAACCGGAGCTGGTACCTCGCCTGGAAGTACAAGCTGATGAATCAGAGAGCTGTCAGGCGGCTATGCCAGGTGAGTTCTCTGGAGGAATGTGAATCATGCCTGGGGGGGGGGATTAGAGAAGATAAACTTGCAAAGCCCGTGGATTATGGAGTCTGTTGGTGGAATCGGCTGCAGCCCCTGTGACCTAACATGGTGGAAGTGAATAAATTGTCCAATCAGAAGCCACCTGAGTTGCGTTTTACCCTTAAAATGCAGAATGGAAGGAGTCTAACCCTCCTTTAGCTACCGCAAGTGCCAGCAGCCAGTTAAAGATTTTTCTCCTGCAGACAAAGGGGTTTTTATAGACTTCACCCGTGGTTAGATGGTGTTTATTACTGGGACAAGCACAGCTCGGCAGCTGTTAAATAGCATTTCCAGGAGAGGAGGGTGGGCTTGCTTGGTGCCTACTTTTGAGCTCTAGCTCTGGGTTTGACTTCCAGGGGGAAAGGGAAATCCTTGCGAGGCTTCGACTAATATGGCTTCTCCGCTGTGATCTTGGCCGGGGGAACAAGAGCCAGTCAGTGTTTTGTTGTGCGATCCCTCGGCGCTACCAAGAGAGAGGCTCTCGTTCACCGTGCGGCCGGGGGACGGGGTAGCTCGTTCGTAGCTCAGAGCGGAACATGGTTTTGATTTATTTGTCTGTCTATCTCAGGAGCTGCCCCGTCCCCATAGTATCTGAGCATCTTGCAATTACTGTATGTATCCTCCCAACATCCTGGTAATGCACTCTGCGGCGGGGGAGGGGGATCCCAAGTACACACACACAATGATGGGGTCTAAATTAGCTGTTTCTGCTCAGGAAAGAGAGCTCGGAGTCACTGGGGACAGTCTCGGAAAACATCCGCTCAACGTGCAGCGGCAGTCAAAAAAGGTAACCCCGTTAGGAACCGTTAGGAAAGGGACAGGTAATATAGTAAATATCATAATGCCACTGTATAAATCCATGGTATGCCCACATCTTTAATACTGTGTGTCGTTCTAGATGCTCCCATGTCAGAAAAGAGATGTTAGACTTAGAAAAGGTACAGAGAGAGGCAACAAACATGATGAGGGGATGGACCAGCTTCCATATGAGGAGAGATTAAAATGACTGGGACTTTTCAGCTTGGAGGAGAGATGACTCAGCAGGAGGTGGTCTGATAGAGGGCTGTAAAATCATGACTGGTGTGGGGAATGGGAACAGGGAAGTGTTATGTGAGGGAGTAAATAACACAGAACCAGAGATCAGCCAATGAAATGAATAGGCAGCAGGTTTAAGACAAACCAAAGGAAGTACTGCGTCACGTCACACAAAAGCAACCTGTGGGACTCATTGCCCGGGATGCTGTGAAGGCCAAATGTCTAACGAGAATCATAGAATACCAGGGTTGGAAGGGACCTCAGGAGGTCATCTAGTCCAGCCACCTGCTCAAAGCAGGACCAATCCCCAACTAGGTTCATAAAAGATAAGTTCATGGAGCACAGATCCATCAATGGCTATTAGCCAAGATGGTCAGGGATGCAACCCCATGCTCTGGGTTGCCCTAGTCTCTGACTGCCTGATGCTGGGAATGGGCAACAGGAGATGGATCACTGGATGATTCCCTGCTCTGTTCGTTCCCTCTGAAGCACCAGGCAATGGCCGCTGTCGGAAGACAGGATGCTGGGTTAGATGGACCCTTGCTCTGAGCCAGTATGGCTGCTCTTACTTTCTAAGAAAGTGCTGTGACTCCACAATGCGGGTGTTGAAAGGTGAAGCCCAGGGTCACACAGGGAGTCTGTGGCAGAGCAGGGGATTGAGCCCAGGGCTCCCAAGTCTTAGACCAGGGCTGTAACCACTGGACCATCCTGCCTCTGCATGTGCAGAAGCAAATAGTTTAGAGGCCCCGTAATAAAGCACTGGCAAGCGCACGTGTGTGTGTGTGCACTCTAGAAAGCTGAAGGCCAGATTCTCAGCTGGTGTCAACTGGTGTTGCTCCATTGAAGCCAGTTTGACCCCCGCTTAGTGAATTCTGGTTGAGTCCCTTTGGAAGTGACCAGCGGATGGGGATGGACATGCCTGAGGCATGGGGCGGCTGCTTCAGAAATAGCCGTCCAAAGCCGCACCGTTCTGCAGCGTGCTGGCCAGCCTGTGTGCGCGTCCTACCGAGACTCGGGACTTAGCCGTGGGAGAGTGATCGGCGAGGGGTGAAGGGAATGAGGCCGTGCCATGGTGGGAAAATTTAAAGGGGGTGTTAACCTATTAATAAAGAATTAATAGTCCCTTGACTTGCCTGTCACCTTCCATGTGAGGATCTCAAAGCAAGACTAACGCTGATGAACTAAAACTTGGTGAGAGGTGAAGAGAAGAATTTGTTATGAGCTATGCTTTGTACATCAATGTGGCCTGTTCGGTGCTTGAGTGCTGCTGTGATGGGCACCGCTGAAAACCCTACATAGAAAATTAAGCTTTGCCAGCCCCCAGTGCGGTTGGTGTGGGCCCATTTTTCAGATGGAGAAACTGAGGAACAGAGAAAAGAAGTGACTTGTCTGAGATCGCCCAGTGAGTCAGTGGTGGAGTGAGGGACAGAACCCAGATCTCCTGAGTCAATGCCTTAGCTACTCCCGCCACCACCAGCTAAGGATATTTATAGCTTCTATTGATAGGCCATGGCTAATAAACAACCCAGGTACAGGGCCTGGGAGTCTAACGGTGGCTCCTCAGCAGATGGCACCTGGGAAGCTTTACAGCTGCTTCTGTTTGTAGATAAAGCAAATGGCCGGGTATGAACCAGTCAGGTTCTCATTGTATTGGACAAGGGTGGGACCTTTTTAAGAAGCACTTTTGTAGTGGGGTGGGTGGAAACTAGCTGGATCACTCCTCATTAATGAGCTGGAGGATGGCGTGGACTGCACCCTCAGCAAGTTTGCAGATGACACTAAACTGGGAGGAGTGGTAGATACGCTGGAGGTTAGGGATAGGATACAGAGAGACCTAGACAAGTTAGAGGATTAGGCCAAAAGAAATCTGATGAGGTTCAACAAGGACAAGTGCAGAGTCCTGCACTTAGGACGGAAGAATCCCACGCACTGCTACAGACTAGGGACTGAGTGGCTAGGCAGCAGTTCTGAAGAAAAGGACCTAGGGGTTACAGTGGACGAGAAGCTAGATATGAGTCAACAGTGTGCCCTTGTTGCCGAGAAGGCTAATGGCGTTTTGCGCTGTATAAGTAGGGGCATTGCCAGCAGATCGAGGAACGTGATCGTTCCCCTCTATTCGGCATTGGTGAGGCCTCATCTGGAGTATTGTGTCCACTTTTGGGCCCCACACTACAAGAAGGATGTAGAAAAATTGGAAAGAGTCCAGCGAAGGGCAACAAAAATAATTAGGGGGCTGGAGCACATGACTTATGAGGAGAGGCTGAGGGAACTGAAATTGTTTAGTCTGCAGAAGAGAAGAATGAGGGGAGATTTGATAGCTGCTTTCAACTACCTGAAAGGGGGTTCCAAAGAGGATGGATCTAGACTGTTCTCAGTGGTGGCAGATGACAGAACAAGGAGCAATGGTCTTAAGTTGCAGTGGGGGAGGTCTAGGTTGGATATTAGGACAAACTTTTTCACTAGGAGGGTGGTGAAGCACTGGAATGGGTTCCCTAGGGAGGTGGTGGAATCTCCTTCCTTAGAGGTTTTTAAGGACAGTCTTGACAAAGCCCTGGCTGGGATGATTTAGTTGGGGATTGGCCCTGCTTTGAGCAGGGGGTTGGACTAGATGACCTCCTGAGGTCCCTTCCAACCCTGATATTCTGTCAGAGACCCACAAAGCCGGTGCTGGCTGCTCGCTCTGCATCTCCTTCCCCATCCCATTACCTGTGCATTGTTGACCCTAATTAGGTGGCGCAGCTCTTCTGTTAAACAAGCCCTTTACCCCTGTGTCGGGCAGTACAGATCTGCTCCTGCATCTGTCCCTGCTGTTCAAAAGCAGCACAGCGTTCGGCTGTCCTGATGGACGTAATCAGCAGCCTGTAGCTCTTGAGGTCGATATTCTAGCTCCATGGGCATTGCAACAGAAATCCAGTCACTCAGACCCTTGGATGTGCCTTCTGTCTTGCTGCATGGCCGCTAGTCTAGGTAGCCTCGCAGCCGCTCAGCAGGAGAGCGGCATCCTCCCAGCCCATGTGGCCTCCATCGGAGCTGTGTGTGTGTGTACACGTACCTTCATGAGAAGGGAATGTGTTTCTGTCGGCGTTAATAACGAAATCTGGGCTGGTGCAGCGAGCTCCCTGGAACAAGCCTGCTCTTGTCAACTCTGGCTACCACCAGCGAGAGGAAAAACTCTGTGTGCTTCAATGAAAAGCTGGAGCAGAAGGGGTAGCTGGGAGGGTGGCTTTCTCTTGCTGGATTGCTCCTCTCCAACAGGCTTAAGCAACTAATTGGCTCTTGGTTTTTATCTGCTGTCTTTCCCCATGGCCTGGCTCCTAGACACAGCTTCACTGATATAATGAGGCAGTTGCTAATAGAAGTCAAGCGGCCATAGACTAGGGGCGAGGCACTGTGGATAGGAGAGGAATGGCTGAGACAAGCTCCCCTGATCTGTAAATAGGGATCTAAAACCCAGCTATTGAAACAGAGCTGCTCCCCCAAATATGAGACGATGACAAAACTCCAGGCTGGACTGAGGCCATGTGGACCTGCCCCCCATCTGCCGAGTGTGTGATAGCAGGGCCGGCTCCAGGCACCAGCCCACCAAGCTTGTGCTTGGGGCGGCACCTGGAGGGGGGCGGCGCGGCACTCCGGCTGCCAGGGAGAGCGGGGCCACGGCCGGGCACGCCACCCTCCCCCCGGCGCTCTGGCCGCCCTGCCCCCTGTGCTCTGGCCGCCAGGGGGAGATCCAAGCCCCAGCTGGGGCTCGCCGCCCTCCTCTCAGGGCTCCGGCCGCCCTCCCCCCCCCTTGCGCCCTCCCCCCGGCCGCCGGGGGGAGAGCGGAGCCCCCGCCAGGGCTCGCCGCCCTCCTCCCAGGGCTCCGGCCGCCCTCCCCCCGGCCGCCTGGGGCGGCAAAAAAGCCAGAGCCGGCCCTGTGTGATAGACATCTTCGGTGCCCAGTGAGCAAATGGCATTCTCCATGGGTCAGTTTCCAATCTCGCAGTCGTAAATAATCTTGCGCCGGCTGCTTTGGTGGAAGGCTCTCTGAATATTAACTAGAGCTAACGCCGGCATGACGGGCACCAGAGTATGTAGCAGAGTGAAGGAGCCTTGTCTCTTTTGTTGCTATATTCCATTGCTGTGAGGATGAGGATATGGCTTCCACTGGGGATGTGATCAGGAACTTTAGTGACTTCCAGCTTTGGTGACTCAAAGTATGTATATAGCCCCCATGGCATCTAAACCTGTCCCTACCCCAATTGAGGGGTATCCTCCTCCTTTTACAGATGGGAGGGGCACTAACGTGGTGAGATTCATACTGCGACTTGTCCTAGGTCACGCAGGGAGTGTGGCAACACCAGGATTTGAACTCAGATCGCCAGAGCCCCAGTCTGCGTGGTTAGGGCACTGGCCCCCATCTGTCTCAATTTCAGCCCTGAAAGGTCATGTCTATCTCTTGCTGTATCCTCAGCCCAAAGGTGACTGGGGAAGGATTGCAATTGACACAGAAAGCTCGCCCTTGAAGTTCCAATAGAGACCTCCGTCTCATAGGTCTGCCGTACGCCGGGCTCTTTCATTACAATAGCATCACAGGCAGCCAGGCCGTGTGACGTTCTCTGCAGCGTGCCATGCTCTGTAATGTCATGGAAGCGACTGCATTGCTCTCTCCAGGCAGGCCGAGGAAATAAAATCCTGCACTCCTCTCTTTCCCCCTAGAACTCTGACTGCGCTCAGCTGGGTGTGTGAATCGTAAGAGATCGTAATGCAGGGGGAGTTAAGGTTTCCATCCGAGGTGTAATGCTGGATTTCTTGACATCCACATTCTTCTAATGTGGTTGTTTTTTCCCTCCTGACGCACCCCTGTGAGGCAGGAGTGTTATCCCTATTTTACAGGTGGGGAAACTGAGGCATGGCCAGGCTAAGTGACTAGCCCAAGTCACACAGGAAGTGTGTGGCAGAACTGGGAATTGAGCCTGGGTGTTTCAAGTCCTAGACAAACACCCTAGCCACTGGACCACCCTTTCCTCTGTGTGCTAGGCAAAAACAAAGGATATCTGAGATCCTCTGTGAGGATTATATTGTGGTTTATCCTAACACGTTGTCGTGTGGCGTGTAACTGGCCCAGAGCTTTTTGCCTTGCAGATGGGTGCCGTCCTCTTTCTGCTTGTGACTGTGATTGTGAATATTAAGCTGATCTTGGACACTAGAAGAGCTGCCAGCGAAGAGGAGGAGGAGTCTGCCCAAGACTATGGTGAGTCTGAGGGGCCCGGTCAAGGCGACAGAAGTCAACACATTCCCATGCCACCCTGCCAATGTGTGCGGCCGTGCCGTACCAGAGCTGGTTAGAAAACAGGCTTTGTCAAAACTTTCCATGGGGAAAAAAAAACAACTTTTTTGGCAAACAACATTTAAACCAAAAATATTTTTAGTTGGAAATGCTGCCATATTGCCTCATGGGAGTTGTATTTCAGGTGCCCTCTGCGCGGCTAGGCTCCTTGTTGGACTACATCTCCCATGGTGCACCATGGTCTCACCTCATGGTGAAGGGCAGCGATTGCATCATCGGGAGTCCCCTGACCCTGGTACATCCTGGGAGATGTAGTTTCGTAGAATCATAGAAGATTAGGGTTGGAAGAGACCTCAGGAGGTCATCTAGTCCAACCCCCTTCTCAAAGCAGGACCAATCCCCAACTAAATCATCCCAGCCAGGGCTTTGTCAAGCTGGGCCTTAAAAACCTCTAAGGATGGAGATTCCACCGCCTCCCTAGGTAACCCATTCCAGTGCTTCACCACCCTCCTAGTGAAATAGTGTTTCCTAATATCCAACCTAGACCTCCCCCACTGCAACTTGAGACCATTGCTCCTTGTTCTGTCATCTGCCACCACTGAGAACAGCCGAGCTCCATCCTCTTTGGAACCCCCCTTCAGGTAGTTGAAGGCTGCTATCAAATCCCCCCTCACTCTTCTCTTCTGCAGACTAAATAACCCCAGTTCCCTCAGCCTCTCCTTGTAAGTCATGTGCCCCAGCCCCCTAATCATTTTCGTTGCCCTCCGCTGGACTCTTTGAATTTTTCCACATACTTTCTGTAGTGGGGGGGCCCAAAACTGGACGCAATACTCCAGGTGTGGCCTCACCAGTGCCAAATAGAGGGGAATAATCACTTCCCTCGATCTGCTGGCAATGCTCCTACTAATGCAGCCCAATATGCCGTTAGCCTTCTTGGCAACAAGGGCACACTGCTGACTCATCAACTGTAGCTTCTCCAGCTTCTCATCAACTGTAATCCCCAGGTCCTTTCCTGCAGAACTGCCGCTCAGTCAGTTGGTCCCCAGCCTGTAGCGGTGCCTGGGATTCTTCCTTCCTAAGTGCAGGACTCTGCACTTGTCCTTGTTGAACCTCATCAGATTTCTTTTGGCCCAATCCTCCAATTTGTCCAGGTCACTCTAGACCCTATCCCTACCCTCCAGCGTATCTACCTCTCCCTCCAGCTTAGTGTCATCCGCGAATTTGCTGAGGGTGCAATCCATCCCATCATCCAGATCGTTAATGAAGATGTTGAACAAAACCAGCCGCAGGACTGACCCCTGGGGCACTCCACTTGATACCAGCTGCCAACTAGACATCGAGTTTGCCTAGGGAGCCCAGCCCATAGGAGAGAATGGGGATGTGAGGAAACAGGACTACAACTCCCATGAGGTACTAGGGCAGTATGTCAAAACTGAAATATTTCAGTTTTCAGGAATTTGGTGGTTTTGATGGAAACACTGAAATCCTTTCCAGAAAGCAAGCCGGTTGTTTTTTGTTTTGGTTTTGGTTTTTTTTTTGGAGGGGGGGCGGGGAATTGTGTAACTGAAACCCCCATTTTTCTGCTGGAAAGACAGTTTTTGATGGAAAACTTTTGGCCAGCCCTAGCCATAATGTTGAATGAACCCTCTGCACACTGCTAGAGATAGTACTTCATTCTGGGTCTGCTCCATCCTTCGGCAGCTATTCGTCCGGCTTTAGACCAGACAGCCCCCTCTTTTTGGTGGTTTGTCCCCCGTCCAGTATCGAGCCTAAACCAGACACAGGAGGGTGGAGTGGTGTCCTGTTCAAAATGGCATTCTCTGTGCAGTGTGACGTTGTACGCACCATGCGAGCAAGGTCACGCCGGCAGGGGTGGGCCCATGCTATTCCCGGAAGTACTGGAATGTCTGGTGTTCTGGGAATGCGTGGATGGCCATCTTATCCATCCTTGACTTCTCTGTTCAGACTGCCAGCCAAGGTGGTGTCTGGAGACATGGACTTCTGTCCACCCAGAGCTGGACTGAGACACCAACTGAGGAAGGCCGGGTGGTGCTGGCACTACCTGCCCCATCTCCCTTGTCAGGTGGAATTAAAGAGCTGGAAGTCCTCAAGCGCCAGGGGCTGTGTCAGCTGGGCTTGTCGGAAGGATGTTTTTGAACATCCCACCAGATCTGTAAAGAGAGATGCTGCAGCCTGCTGGGAGTGGCAAGAGCGCACGTGTTGTGCTAATAGGTTGGGAATCTCCCCCATCCTCTGAGGGGAACCCACTGGTCCTCCTGGCACTGAGTCACAACAGGTAGGGCTGAGGCTTTGGGCACCCCTCTCTCCTTAGATGAAGGTGTGCAGCATCTGGAGACCCCGCGCCGCCCCACCAGCAGCAGGAAGGTCTTGGACATCGAGGTGTACTCCAGTCGGTCGAAGGTCTACGTGGCTGTGGACGGGACGACGGTGAGTGGCTGGCACGGGAGGCTGCAGGTTACCCATGTGAGCTGAGGGCGGGCGAACCAGCGTGGGTAGAACCAGAACAGACCTGATCTCTGTCACCCAGAGCTTGAACTGAAGCCCTTCCTGGAGTATAGAGCTCCTCTTTGGAGCAGAATGCAGCCAAGGCCTTTGCCATACTCCACAATTGAATGGCTTGCGTGTAAGCCTGCCTCTGCTCCCATTGAAGTCAATGGCAAAGCTCCTATTGACTCAATGAGCTAGGACCAGACTAAGGCTTAGCGTCTAATTCCCCGTCCTCTCTTTCTTCTGAGGATGACTTGTGCTGAGTACAATAGCAGCAGGTGTCCCACTGCCGCGAATTGGAGAAACCAGCGAAGGGGCTGGAATTTGAAACTGAGTGAATTCTCCCTCGGTAGGAGCAGCTGTGTGACGAACCCACTGGGGTGGAGGAGTTCCTGGGAAAGAACCGGGGAGGCCTGGCGGATTGCTACAATAACGTTTCCCCCTCCCGCAGGTCTTGGAAGATGAGGCTCGGGAGCAGGGAAGAGGGATCCACATCATTGTGTTAAATCAGGCTACGGTAAATTGCGCCGATGGTCCCTGCGTGTGTTCGTGCGGGGCTGTCTGGCGTTCCTGCCCAGTGACGCTGTCCCTCGTCGAGGGCTAGCTACGTGTGTGAAGCCAGTCTTGCATTTCTCCGGGCCGAAGAGAAATCTCTGAACCCCTTCTCTTGCAATGGTCTAAAAGCACTGGCTAGCCTCGGCTAGCCCAGTTCACCGAACGGGAGCTGCCTTGGAGTGTCCGGCAACAACAGGTGAACCCTTCTGTGAGCTGGATGCTTCAGCCCCGTGAGCTGGGTGCCTCAGCCTGGGGAAGTTACAGCCCCAAAGGAAATGCCTTGGGACAGCCCTGGTTGGAAGTAGCTGGAGGTGGGGCCATGGACTTCAGTGGGAGTCATTCCATTGACGTTGTTGGGCTTTGGCTCATGTAGTGCAGACTTAACTCTAGTTTTGGCTTCCCAGAGTGCCAGGATGCAGGGGCAACGGAAGGTCCCTAAAAGTGGGGGGGCCACCTGCACGGGAACCATAGCCCCGCCCCCCCCATCCGGCCTCTTCACCTAAGGCTCTGCCCCCCCCCCACTCCTCTTTTTCCCCCCCTCCCATCCCCCATCGCTCACTCTTACGGCTGGTAAAAAGTTGGTGAATTGTAGAATCACAGAATCATAGAACTAGAAGGGACCTCGAGAGGTCAACTAGTCCAGTCCCCTGCACTCAAGGCAGGATGACGTAATAACTAGCCCGTCCCTGACAGGTGTTTGTCCAATCTGTTCCTACAAACCTCCAATGACAGAGATTCCACAACCTCCCTAGGCAATTTCTTCCAGGGCTTAACTACCCTGACAGGAAGTTTTTCCTAATGTCCAAGCTAAACTGCCCTTGCTGCAATTTAAGCCCATTGCCTCTTGTCCTATCCTCAGAGGTTAATGAGAACAATTTCCCTCCCTCCTCCTTGTAACAAACTTTTATTTACTTGAAAACTGTTATTTCCCCTCTGTCTTCTCTTCTCCAGACTAAACACACCCAATTTTTTCAGTCTCCCCTCATAGGTCATGTTTTCTAGACCTTTTCTCATTTTCGTTGCTCTTCTCTGGACTTTCTCCAGTTTGTCCCCATCTTTCCTGAAATGTGGCGCCCAGAACTGGACACAATACTCCAGCTGTGGCCTAATCAGCGCAGAGTAGAGCGGAAGAATTACTTCTCATGTCTTGCTTACAACACTCTTGCGAATACATCTCAGAATGATGTTTGCTCCTTTTTTGCAATAGTGTAACACTATTGACTCATATTTCGCTTGTGATCCATTAAGACCCCCAGTTCCCTTTCCACAGTACACTCCTTCCTAGGCAGTCATTTCCCATTCTGTATGTGTGCAACTGATAGTTCCTTCCGAAGTGGAGTACTTGGCATTTCTCCTTACTGAGTTTCCTCCAGTGAGGAGTTTCGGGTGGCGCTCATGCCTGGGGGCCTGGTGTACGTGCATCATGCAGGCTGTGCCGTGTGTTTGAACATCTACAGGGTCACGTGATGGCCAAGAGGGTGTTCGACACCTACTCACCCCACGAAGACGAAGCCATGGTCCTCTTCCTCAACATGGTCGCTCGTGGTCGCATCCTGATCTTCTCCATTAAGGTAGGTGGGTCCGACGCCGAGGGAGACTGCAGATCAAGTCACTGACGTGAGTCAAGCTCTAGCAAGGCAGCGGCTGGCTCTGCTTCCCTGCAGTCTTGTCTCATGAATGTTCTAACCCATGTGCCAGACAGCAAGCCCCATTCTCCTCCGGCTCATTATTTATATTATGGGAACGCCAAGGAACCCATACCTTATTTATTACAGTAACGCCTAGTAGCCCCGGTGATGGGCCAGGACCCCACTGTGCTGGGCGCTGTACAAACGCAGAACAAAAAGACAGGGCCTGCCCCCAAGGAGTTTACAATCTAAGTCTAAGACAAGAGGCATCAAATGAATACAGACAGATTGGGAAGCCCAAGGAAACAATGCGGCCGTATGGGTCAGCCTGACAGGCAGTGGTCTCGGCACACCAGCAGCCGAACCGTTGTCAAGTTTTTTTATAGGCATCCTGGCAAAGGGAAGTTTTGAAGGAGGATCATGCATGAGTTTTGCAGATGTTTATGGGGAGCGCCTCCCACATAGCCCTCTGCCTCCCCCACGTGGAGAAAGCACAAGGCTGCTTGTTTGTTTGAAAACACTTAAATGTAACCCCAGGGTACCTCTGTTGAGCAGAATGGGGTTACTCCTGTCTCCCACCAGCGTGAGTGGGAAGAGCGTCTGGATGGGTGTCTTCCTCCCCCATTGTTTTCTGTCACTCCGATGCCGTGTGCTGTTGTGGGTTTGTGCATTTTCTGTCTTGTAAAGCATCCTTCAGCTGCAGCTTCTCTGAAACGCGCTATGTCCAAAACTCCCTGGTGCCCTTATATTTAAACTGTTCCATTTCCTGATTTCTGACTGACACTTGTGTGCGGCATCACCTGTCTCAGGTGGGAAATAGCTTGGAAGATACGTTCCCCAGAGGAATTAAGATTAACTCTTTTTTTAATCCATCATGCAACTTAATATTCCTTGTGACCCAGGGGCAACGTCTGTCTTTCTGTCTGATCTTTGCAAGGGCAACGATCCTGAGTCGGAAATGCATGGCTGCTCTGACCGTCCCGGTGGGTCTGCTTAGTGCCCGCAATCTGCAGGGGGGTGAATCGCCCTGTAGCCGTGCACATCGGCGAGCTCTGCTGGGGAGTGAGTGGAAGAAGCCTTCCAACAACCAGCTCCGAAACGTGGTTCTCCTGGGCTGAGCCTCCAGTGGGATTGAGAGGGGGGCGATGGGAAGACCACCCTGCTGGCTGCAATGGGAGACAGATCCTGCTGGTTCAGAGCAGGGGAAGGTGCCGCCTCATGATGTGGTCTGTTCTGTTCCAGGACGAAGGCTCCTTCCACCTTAAAGACTCGGCAAAGAGCCTCCTGAAGAGCTTGGGAAGCCAGGTCGCCTCGTCCCTCAGCTGGAGGGACATGTGGAGCTTTGTGGGGAAGAAAGGAGGTGAGAGCCCTGCTCCGGCCGGGCCCAGGGGCCGGGCGGGAGTGGAGGCAGAAGGGATGGACTCTGGCTAAGTGGACGGAAATGGCGTCCCCTCAGCAAGTGGGGGCGGGGGGGTATTCCCACAAACACTGCAAGGTGAAGTCAACTCTGCTCAGACCTTGGCATCTCTTGGCCATGGGGGCCTGCTCCCTGGGTGCAGGTTGAGTGTGGGGGGAGGGAGGCACGTCTCCTTCTCAAGCTCCTGCCATTATTGGAGGGAAGGAGGTACCAGCTGGTCTCTCGGTGATGAGGTGGGTTCTGGCTGGCTCTGTACCGCGGTCAGGGGGACGGGCACCTGAGCGCCGTTCGGCAGCAGCCTGGCTCTGACTGCATGTCTTCCCCCCCACACACACCCAGGCGAGGTGTACGGCGAGAAGCATTCCAAGTCCCCAGTGCTCTCCACGTGGGGGGACCCCGTCTTGCTGAAAACTGAAGTCCAGCTGACCTCCGTGGAAGGTAGGCCTCAGGGGGGCTCCTGCAGACCAGGGCAGAGAGCAGCTGGGCGGGCGGGCGCCCCTACCCATCGCAGCGCCTCACCTGGATAAGAGGTGGGAGCTGGGGGAGAGAGACAGACGCTGGGGGGAGACCCCTGATCTGCCTCGGCGCCTGCAGCTGGAGAACCCCTCTCAAGAAGAGATCCGCCCCTGTTCTCAGTTGGGGGGGAGGAACAGGATTCGGCTGTAAACCTGGCCCCATGGAGATGAGAAATGATTTTGAGGGGGGGGGGGCGCAGTGCGGCCTAGTGGATAGGGGTCTTGGCTCAGACCTGGATTCTACTCCTGGCTCTGCCACTGATACTGTGCCAGTCCACTCACCTTTCTGTGCCCCCCACTTTGCAAGCTCTGCGGGGCAGGCGCTGTCTCTCACGGTGGCTGTACAGCGCCTAGCGCAATGGAGCTCTGAGCTCAGCTGTGGCAAGCCCCTCGGCGAGGAATTTGCACTGGAGGGTGATGGGGGCTGACTTCAGGCTGCATTGTTCTGACAGGGCCGTCTCTGGGGGCTAGGAAACAGTGGGTTGGTTTGTTCTTGTCTTTTCTTCCCTTTTTAAAGCTGCTGATCTCATTAATACAGGACTGGGAGTTAAAATGGAGTTGGTGCTTCTATTGTAAATCCGGTGCTCACCCTCTTATTTTCTTAGCAACCCTACAATAACAAACCAGCGCGCTTCTGCCAGGAGGAGGGGAGGATATAAAGGAGTGGGTTTCCTTTTCCTGCTTCCAAGGGATTGTTTGTGAATGCCTAGGGTGGCATTCTTAAAATAGAAGTTGCAAGACATCTCTCTGGACCATGCCGTTCAGAGCTCACATCCCTTCTGTGCTGATCCAGCTGCCAGGGCCTTCTGTGCCCATGTAGGGTTTGAGCCCGGGTGCCTACCAGCGAAGGCATCCGCTCGGCCCAGGTGGCAATAAGCCATGGCATGACGGCTGAGGCTGCAGGTGGGGGCAGTGAAGTGGCAGGGCAGGAGGGCTGTGCCCTGGGATCCTTGCCCCGGCACAAAGGGGTGAGCTACCTGCTTCCCTCCCCAGAGCAGTGGTCTCAACTCGGCTGGTCTCCCCTTCTCCCGCAGATGCCGAGTGCCGCTGGCCCGACACGGAGCTGAACCGCCGCCGGCGGAGGTTCTGCACCAAGGTGGAAGGTTACGGCAGCGTCTGCAGCTGCAAAGACCCCACGCCCATCGAGTTCAACCCTGATCCCGTGAGTGCGAGCGGAGGAAGGGGAGCGGGAAGCCCTTGCCTCCAGCTGAGCATGGAGCCGCACGTGGCCCTCACCCGGCGTAACGTCTGCAGGAGGCTTCAATATAGACGGCGCACGGAGGGCTCCAGCTAAAATCACGTCGGCCTGCTTCTGCGCGGCACGCCGCCTCCAGCAGGCTCCCAGAATGCACCTGGCTGCCATAATTCTAGCCCTGCCCGGGAAGGGAAGGATGCTGCAGTGTCTCTCTGCAGCGTCCAGGGACGATTGTAGAGCAGCAGAGTGTAGCTAGGCCATGAGGGTTCGTACACACCAGTGTCTGTCTCGTTGCATCCGTTCCCTGCCTGCTGGCATCTCCAGCCGCCTGGCATCCCTCTCAGGCCAGGCTGAGGCCTGGATCAGTCCCGAAGAGAGAACCTTGCCTAAATTACCATGTGATTTATTTATTTATTTGTTTATTTCCCTGCAGCCCCAGGATTTCTTTAGCTGTCCTGCAGCCAAGTACTGACCGGGCCTAGCCCTGCCCGGATCCCAGCCTGCCGTGGTGGGGCAGGAGGGCAACTGAAGGTGTCTAAGATAGAATGAGGCCATCCTTCCACCGGGGTTCTCCTTGCGGGCAAAGGGTCTCTGCTCCGTTTCAAGGCTGGATGAGAACAGTGCTGTTCCCTCTCTTGAAATAAAGCCCTGAGCTGGGTGGTGGAATGACTCCCAGGAGATCCCCTGGCTGCGGGCAGGGCTCCTAAACCTTGCAGACGTCACTGGCTCTTCTCAGGGCTGTCCCGGCCTCAGGGCCCGGGGGAGGGCGGGGTGGCCCCTAGTGGCTTCCCAAAGCCCTTATCACAAACATTTTCTCTTCCAGCTCAAGGACAATAAAGTCTTTAATGTGCCTGTGGCTGTCATTGCAGGGAACAGACCCAACTACCTGTACAGGTGAGCGCTGGGCGGGACGCTGCATGGTCCGTGGAGGGATGTCCCAGGGAAAGCACTGGATCTCTGTTGCAGGGGCCATAGAAAGCCAAGCTGGGGAAGCCCCGTTAGATCACTCCACCCCCAGCTAGTGCAGATGGAGCACTGGGAACAGCTCTGCTTCTCCGTCCTGGCTCGGAATAACCCGGGCAAGGCGGGCGCCCCGTTCTTCTTGGGGAGCCCGCTCTCGGATGTCATTAGCGGGAGGCGTCGCCTGCTAGTCTCCTTTGCTTTCCCGGAACGCTTCGAGGGCGTCTTCCCAGTGGCCGACTCTGGAGTAGCCCAGCCACAAAACCCGGCGGGAGCAGGCAGTAGTGGGGCTCAGAATGCCCCACGGGTGGGTGGCTTGGTCCTGGGGGCAGGTTACTGTGGTGTGTAGTTCTCCATCCCTGCTGGCCAGCTCTGAGTGGTGATAGGCGTTACCCTCTCAGCTTAGCCATGGGAAGGGAGTATGGGGCAATGTCTGGGTTTGCAAGGACCTAACCCCCCCGCCCCAAAGGGATCTAGGCCTCACTTGAGTGTTGAACCGTCTCCTGCTTCTGTTGCCCACGTTTCATCACTGACTCAGCATGTCGCTGGGTGGCCATCTCTCGCCCGGTGCCCTCCGCAGGAGGAGGGCTGGACACTCCCAGGAAAGAAAGCAGGGGCCTGACCCTGGGGTCTAAGGGGGCCCTGCTTCCCCCTCTGTCTGAGAGAGAAGACGCTTGTGCGAGGCCCTTGCACGGCGCCCCCTCTCCCCGTGATCGTGGCGTTCAGTCGTCTGTTAAAGAGACTCCAGACTTTCAAGCCAACACATTCCCACTCTCTCCTCTCCTGGCCCCCAGGATGCTGCGGTCCCTGCTGTCGGCTCAAGGGGTCAACCCCCAGATGATCACAGTCTTTATTGACGGGTATTATGAGGTAAGATCTCCCCCCGCGGCGGGGAGGGGGGCTTCTCACGCGGTCTCTGAACGTGGAGGAGGGGAAGGAGCAGGCAGCTGCTGTCGTCCTTGTCCCCTTTCTGCCCACCCCCCCCCGGGGCAGCTCCTCGCTGGGTTCTGAAATCCCGCTCGGCTCGTTGGGACGGAGCAATTTCGCGTGTGTGTCTCCCGCTGGGCGTCTTCGTTTTGACGATGGTTAGGCTGCTGGTGTGCTGAGCCGGCTGCGTGTCATGCTGGCCGTTGTCTCTTGTCTCAGGCGTAGTTCGGAAGCTCTCTGGGGAAGGGGCCATGTATTTGTTCTGGGTTTTGTACAGCACCTAGCGCGGCAAGGTCCTAGTCCGTGATTGGGGCTCCTGATACGTTATTTTCTGCATCTTTAAAATGCCCGGAGGCTGTGGGGCTAGAACAGAGGGGGCAAGAGGTGTCAGGCGCCCTGTGGAGTCCACATTCTGATCGACCCCTGTCTGCAGCCCCCTCCCACTCTTGCTGAAATAAACTGAATGGTGCTGTCTGGCATCAGGTGTCCAGGGCGGAGAAGAGCTGCTCAGGGGTGGACTGACGGGGGTTGCCCCCGATAGTCGCAGAGCTTCGGGCCGTGAAAGAGAACCCAGCGCGCCCTCTAACGGGAAGATCTTTCTCCCTGTTTCCAAGCTGTGAGAAGAGCCAGCGATTCCACTAGGGACTTCACCGTGGCCAGTCTGTTTTACATGGAGAGCGGCCATGGGATCTTGTCACAGCTAGGGGGCGGCTTGCACCTCTGTCCCCTTTCTGGTCCCTCTGCGAGCCCCCCCGTCCCCCCCCGCCCCAGGGGTTAGGCCTCGTGCCCTTTCCTGTCCTGGGGTAGAATTGCACAGTTCTCCCACGCTTTGACCGAGACCAGGGTACGACACTCCACCTTATACGAGAGCGAAACTTTTTGGATGAATCCTTTATTCGCTGACGAACGCAAGCGTCATTGGACGTGGAACTATTCGCAACTTTGGGTCGAATTTGACATGAACTCACTGAACAAGTTTCAGCCCAAAACCTTGGCTCAGGTAGAGTCGCGAGGGCCTGTCCGTGGAGGAGGTGGCAGTGGGGCAGTCCGCCCCCTGTAACGTTTAGCCCAGTGGGTGGGCACTCGCCTGAGAAGTGGAAGTGATCCTTGCTCTACTGTGGAGTTATTTATACGCAGCGGCAGAGTTTCATTAGAATTTAAGAGCCCTACCTCCGGGTAGCTGATCGCTTGGTGGTTTGACCACTCACTTTAAAAATGCCTGAAAACTAACGCTTTTGTTTGATTCAAACTTATTGCCACCTCTTTTTGCTTCCCTGAAAACTCTGAAAAAGTTCAGACTCAGGTCGGCCCGAACGGACTCTTTTTTTTTGTTTGTTTGTTTGGGTTTTGAACGGCCAGTGTCCCACAGGATCAGTTAGTCACCCAGCTCCACTTATTCCCAGGCCTGACTGTTCCTTCGTGCTCCTTCCCTCTGAGATCCGGCGCTAGGCAGTCACCAGTGGCCTGCTGAAATCAAGTGGGTTTATTTAGCAAACGGAGCGAAGTGTTAGGGACAGTGACTAAAACAACAGACCCATCTGATCTTAGGCTTCACCACGAGCTCCGTTAGACAGGCTTCCTGCTGGTTAGAGGAACAGAACAGACCCAAGCGTTCTTAGGAGCCAGCCTGGTCTCCATTTGCCTTCCGGAGAGTGATTCCCTCCCCAGGGAAACCCCTTTCTCCAAATCCTCTCCCTGCATGAGCCAGACCCCACTTACCATCTGTCCAAGGTACTTCTGTGGTGCTCCCTGAGCCTAGACTGACTCGGGTTTGAGCCCAAGCCCCACTTCTGTCCACACACAGGACCCGGGCCTAGAAACCTGCTGAGGGGGTGGGTCAGAGCCCCAGTCCCTCGCAGGCTTTGGTCCAAGCCCTGTCGTTTTGCAGCGTGATCGTAGCTCAAGCCGCAGACCCACATCAGAAGTTCGGTGTAGCGCAGTGTGGACACGTTAACACGGCTGGGAGACCCGGGTGCAGTGATAGTAAACCCAGGGTTACAATGCAGTGAGGACACTCAAGCGTGGGCTTGGCCTCACAAGCCCAGGTCCCACAGACCCGGTTTACAATGCACAATAGACACCCCCTGAATGGCTTTCTTACAGGGCCAGGGGTGAAATCTTCCATTTGTCTCCAACTGTTTTCTCCCATTTGACCAGCCGGGCCAGGTAAGGAGAAGCCCCCACGATGGCTGTTCCATTGTCTGGAAATTAGAGCCATTCGGCCTTAATGGTTTTCAGTCCCGGGCCTTGTGTCTGGAGTGCTGAAACTGCTCCCCCGGATCTCGGGATTCCTATACATAGTCCATATTGTAGGGTGCAGCTCCTTGTTCCCCACCAAGCACCCCTATGTCCATTAGACCCCTTCCCATCCGGGCTTGACCTGATGCGCCACTAAGCCAAAATAAACAGCGTAACCACCCCGTGCCCTGCGAATCTGTCTCCAGACTGGAACCTGGGTTAGACTCTCTGACTTGCAGCTGGATGTGACATTTGAAGCCGTCACACTGCATGGTCCTGGCATTGGATGGGGAGAGGGGGCAGTGGTCGGACCCGCCACAGCCCCTTAAAACAACCTGCCTTCGGTTGGCCTTTCCCCGTAATCCTCATCTTCTCCCCCGGTCTGTAAGCTGAGGCCTTGCCATGGACAGAGCCAGATGCTGAATGCTCGTGTGGAACATCTCACCTCTTTAGGTCTCCAAGTGCTTCGCTGGTGCCTCCGCTTTGCGTTATGTCCCCGTGGTTCGGCTGGGCGGGGGGGCGCCCGAGTTCACACAATGACTGAGCCTGGAGCAGAACCCAGATCTCCCAATTCCCAGGCTGGCACCTGGCTAGCAGTCTAAGGGGCTCAGGACATGCTGTGTCTAGTGGGCATTGATTGCAGACACCGTTATGGGGTCTGGCATGTACTGCAGGGTAGGGGTGGCTATTGTTTTTCCCCCTCCACCAGATCCAGTGTTTCCGTCTCTCCTGTTCATACGGTGCCTCTCGCTGTGCTATGTAAAATGTCACTCCATTTCGTGCCAGGGGATGATGGAGTGAGATGAACGGAGCTGTTTCTTTGCGAGGAAGAACATGAATTAAACCAGTAGTGGGGGGTTTTGGGGGAGAAGGGGGGAGGAGAATCCTCTTCTTTTAGACACTTGCCACAGTGACTAATGCTCTGTGAGAGCAGCTAATGATAGCTGCATCCCGTTGCCATGGCAGCGGAAGCAAGATCCCTGGCCTATGAGGGAGCAGCATAGACGCTGGGCCTGTTTTCGCAAGTGGCACAGGAGATGCTGAATGCTGTGCTGTCATTTTATTGGGGTGTCCGGGAGAGGATAAACCCTTGGTGCTTGATGCAATCCGAGTTCCCCTCCCCGGCTGCAATAGGGATCTGCGGAGGGGGGAGGCTGGACACTGGATGCACAGAGCCTGGGATAACTAAGGGGCTCTCTAATGGGATTACTGCTTATCTAGGGAGGTGACCTTGTTTCATGCTGGATGGTAAAGGAAGCTTCTCTCTGTTGTACACGTATAAAACACAGCTGTTTGGAATGTGCTTCCCCCCCCCATTCTTTACAGTGCTGTATGCACATGAAGAAGGATTAGACGCCTGCATGAGTAAGCATATCTAATGTGCATCTTCAGTTAAACAAGCTGGGTTAACCGTTCCAAGGGTTATCAATGCTCATGCTTCAGGGCACAAGCTGATTATCCACCGAGGTCAGGCAGCATGTTTCTGCAGGTCACCATGGCGCAGCACTGCGCAGCTAGGCCCATTATGGGGTGTTTCCCACTCTTGCCTGAAGCGTCAGATGCCGTCAGAGACTTTGCCCCGTCTCCTGGCTTGCCAACCCTGCGCACTAGAGAAGGGGCTGAGCGTAGAGGTGTAGACAGACCTGGGGCCTATGCGGTGAGTAAGTCTCATGTCTCTCTCTTCCAGGAGCCGATGGACGTGGTGGAGTTGTTTGGCCTGAAAGGGATCCAGCACACGCCCATCAGCATTAAAAATGCCCGAGTGTCTCAGGTGAGGGGCCCTTCCTACTTAGGGAAATTCTCCCCCCTCTTCCTGGTGCACCAGGTGCCCTGCACGGACCGGTGGTGGGGCTTGAATCCAGGACCGTGGGGGGGTGGCAAACTTACTGACCCTCTGAGCCGCATACGACAGTCTTCAGAAATTCAGAGCCAGGGCGCACCTGCCAGGGCTCGGGGCTTCAGCCCTGCTCCTACTGAAGCCCCAAGATCCTCCTCCCCACTGGGCAGAAGCCCCTACCCTACCTGCTGCAAGGAAGGGGTCCCAAGCTCTCCCCCAAGTCTGGGGGGGGGGGGGGTCCATGAGCCTCACTTTAACGGTAACCATGGGCTCGTGAGCCACCATTTGGCCACCCCTGACCTAGAGCAATAAACGGAGGAGTTTCCACTGCTTGACTGAAAGGGTAGGTCACGGACCGGGCAGCAGTAGTAGACTCTTACGTGGACTGGATCCATGCTCCCCTACTGACCATTAATCGGTGTCTGGCGGGGATAGAAACCTCGGCGGCAATGTTTGCTAATGCCCGTGTCTCCTCCCACAGCACTACAAGGCCAGTCTGACTGCAACCTTCAACCTGCACCCGGTGAGCAAGTCCCTCCTCCCGACCGTCTCTGCTCTCAGCGCCGGGCGGTTCCGCTCCCCGTAACGAGCGCCTGGGGACCCGCTCTGGGAAGGGCTGGGCACTTGCACATCAGGAGAGAGACGCCCGTGGTGCCTGCTGACAGGAGCAGAAATTCTCATCATGGTGCAGCACCCAGGAGCGTGGCAGGGGAGAAGGAGGGAAACACACTCAGGGCAGCAGCGTGGGTGCCTTTCTGCTGGCTTTGGGAACGCCGAATTCCCTGGTGTCACTGAACCCGCTTCCCTTATGCCCGTCTCACGGGAGCGATTGCTGCGAAATGAAGCCCTCTGGGAAGCAAAATGGCTGCCTCTGAGGTAGCATCCGTGGCCAAGCACCACCACGTTGGGTTTGAGTCAAGACGGGCCTGGTGCGAATAACGTCGACGAGGCTTGTTGGGGCCGAGCGCTGAGGATCGCATAGACAAGGGGATGCCGTGAGATGTCTCTGGTCTGTCCTTTGTCATAGAATCATAGAATCTCAGGGTTGGAAGGGAACTCAGGAGATCCTGTAGTCCAACCCCCTGCTCAAAGCAGGACCAATCCCCAACTAAAGCATCCCAGCCAGGGCTTTGTCAAAACCAGGAGTTTCCACTGCTTGAATTAATAGTCCCCTTTGTCCTACTGACATCTCTCGTTTCCCTCCCAGGATGCCAAGTTTGCTGTGGTGCTGGAAGAAGACTTGGACATCTCCATCGACTTCTTCAGGTGAGGCTCGGAACGTGCTGACATCGGGCCTTGTCGCCTAGGAGGCCCAGTCACGTCTGTCTGTCTTGCCAGACCAGAAACAAGAGGCTCTTCACTCTACTAGTGTACCACGGTCTGCAGGACGGTCCCAGGAGACGTGGGAGCATCCCACTGATGCTGGGATGGGGGTGACCCCGTTATCCACAGCCAGACTCTTGATTACAAAGAGGGCATGTGTCAGAACCTCCATCCCTCCTTGGTTTTTAGCTGCTAGACAGCTTCCTGGATGCCGAGGGGTCAGTGCCGCTAGAACTCCTTGCTCTTCTGTTGACTTACTGGGAGTTGAGGCGGGGACATCACTGGAACTTGTCATGCCTCTGTTTTGCCCATCTGTAAAATGGGCTCGGTACTCGCAGTACCTACCTCAAAGCGGGGCCCAGCAGCTTAATAAATGAGCATTTGAGGCTGGTTCTGGGAGCCGTGGAGGGCAGGTGCCGGCAGAGGAATTACTACAGGGACTAGCAATAACTTGGGCCAGATCCTCCGCTGATGTAAGCGGTTGTAGCGCCATTGGAGTCAGCAAGGCTACACTGATTTACATCAGTGGAGGATCTGCCGTTTGAGCTCCTTTGCTGAACCCTGATCGCTGGGTCAAAGGCTACTTTAAGTGATTTCCCGCAGGTGGTAAAATGCTTTGAGCATCCTCTGGCCCCAGCTGACCCACATTTTGCCCTGCGCTGAGGCTGGTAACTGTCCCTCTCCTCCGTCCCCTGCCTTAATTTCTCCCCAGCATCCTCTCTGGCTGCGAGGGTGGGAGCTGCCTGCCTAGTGCCTCCAGCACGGATGGGCATTTCCTAGGCGTCTCCGTTATCTCCTCTACCCAGCTGGAGGACGGAGGGGCTTATTTAGGATCGAGGTGCTGTGTCCCGTAGCAGTGGGTGGGAGAGCATCCTTTTCCAGGGCGAGCCGGGCACCCGGGGGCGCAGCCGGTCCTGTCTCTAATCTGCCTCGTTTCTAGCTTCCTGAGCCAGTCCATCTATTTACTGGAGGAGGACGACAGCCTGTACTGCATCTCGGCTTGGAACGATCAGGTAGGCTCATGGAGCCTCGCTTCTCCCGTCTCTGTAACCCCACAGCAAGACCCGCTCCGATGCAGTCCAGCGTCCCTATGCTCCATCCCCTCGAGGCGCTGGTTCCTTCTGCCCGTCTGGCAGGGATTGCTGCCTCCGGCTCCGTTCGCAGCATGCTCTTCCCTCTGCAAAGGCCGCTGTGGGTGCCCCAGAAATTCAAGTGGTACAGAGGCGTATCACGTGAGCTGGGGAGATCCCGGGTGGCCCCGCTGCAGCCGCTGGCCCCAGCGCCGAGTCTGCGCCACGCTCAACCCCCGTTGGGTTGGAGAGCGAGACGATCCTGCGCCCGCCCCAGGCGTTACAACCTGGCCCCTGGGGGTTTGGTCCATCCATCCCTCCATCCCTCCACACATGGAGACGGAGTTGCAGACGGGCCAAACCCGAGTGGGGCTGCAACCCACCCTCCCCTCCGCCCTGGTGCCAGGCCGCAATGCCGCTCGGTTAGGGGGCCCAGGGCCAATGTGCGTCTGGCTGCATGCACTGCTGGAGAAGACCCTCTCAGCCCACTCAGTCTGCCCCCCCCCCCCCCCCCACACTGAGGTGCCTGGAATTGACCCTGCAGAGCTCAGTATGGAGCTGTTCTCTGCTCCAATGTTAGAACCCTTCCCCCCACCCCCACCCCCAAAATCTGTGCTAACGTGGGAACCTGTCCCTTGACTCCACCCATCCTGTGCACCGTTCGGTGGGGCTTGCTCCTCGCACGTTTACCATCCCAGCCCCTCTGAGTGAGGCCTTGGAGTAGCAGGAAGAGGTGCGGTACTGGTGGGAAGGTTTCTGGGGGTGAACAGAGGAGGAGAAGGGGGAAATAGAAAGGGAAGGAGAGGGCAGGGGAGGGGAAGCCAAATGTGATGGGCAGGAGTGGGGGATGTGTGTGAAGGGGGGAGGGGGAGTGAAGGGGTTCAGGGTGAGTGGGGCAGGCAGGTGTTGATCCCTTCCAGAGGCTGGTGAGGAAGCCCCCGCCCAAAGGAAAGGGGAAGCGCTGGCCCTTCTGCGCTGGGAATAGCGCCTCCTCCTGGCGTACCTATGCTCCCGTGGCCCCCTTCGGCGTCCTGGCGAGGGCGCGCTGAACGCTGCCCTCTGGCTCCCCAGGGCTATGAGCACACGGCTGAGGACCCCTCGCTCCTGTACCGCGTCGAGACCATGCCCGGCCTGGGCTGGGTGCTGAGCAAAAGCCTCTACAAGGACGAACTGGAGCCGAAATGGCCAACCCCCGAGAAGGTGAGTGCCCTCTGCTCTCCCTGGTAGGAGCCCTGGCCCACCTGTTGCTGCGGGTATGGGGCGAGGGGGGAGCTGTGAGGCTCGGTGGGCAGCCAGTGGAGGAACTGCCTTGAAGCATCCGGGCTGTGGGCGCCCGCAAGTGACGCACGTTGCTCTTCGCATTTTAGATACGGGGACGGCGTCCACATTCCGAGCCCCCGGATCTGAGGGGTTAGCAACCCCGCTAGCCACAGAGCCTGGGTAAAGCCAATGCTCTGTCCATCTGTGCCAGCCATCTGGCTGAGAAGCCCTACAATAACAAACACCGGGGAGTGCCGCGTGGGCTCCAGCCATAACCAATGGCAGCCTGTGTGCAGCATCCAGTCTCCACGAGCAACCTGCAATAACCACCCTAACGTGCGTGCACACGCTTGGAGGCGTGGAGGTCCGGGGAGGGAGGCTTTGTTTTTCCATCTCCGGGGGCTAAGGGGCTCTTTTAAGGAACAGCGTGATCCGCGACAGGAGCCAGGTTCCCCCTCTAAAGCAGCATCCTCTCCCCTCTCCAGCTGTGGGACTGGGACATGTGGATGCGGATGCCGGAGCAGCGGAAAGGCCGGGAATGCATCATCCCTGACGTCTCACGCTCGTACCACTTCGGCATCGTGGGGCTCAACATGAATGGCTACTTCCACGTGAGTGAGGCCGAGGGGGGGAGGGCGGGCCGGTAGACAGGCTCCCCTCCCTGCTCCGAGGTGCAGAGGCTGCCCACTGGGCATTGCCGTGGGCTGTTAGCTGACCTCCACATGCACCCTGTGGCCTCGCTGGGCTCGCGAGGTGCATCGGCCGGGGAAGGGGCGTGAGCCAAAGCGTTGCTGTGGCTCCAAAGGACGGACCCGGCGTGCTAGATGAGCGGTGATCCTCTGACAAGTCATTTTCTGCGCTTGGTTCCCAGGAAGCCTATTTCAAGAAGCACAAATTCAACACAGTCCCGAACGTGCAGCTCAAAAACGTGGAGAGGTGAGTGCCAGCCCGCTGCGAAGGAACCACTGGAGGTTGCCCAGAGCCTGCTGCATAAAGGGCTCTGTCTCTTGTATCTCGTAATTTTAACCCACCCTGCCGCAGCTCCCCTGTTCCAGCTCCGAGCTCCCCCTTCCCCTCCACTGCATGTAGCTCTGCCGGGGCCCCCCTGTTCTTAACGGACGTGCCCCACAGCTGTTCCAGTAGCTTTCCATCCTCCCGAGCAGAGCGCGTGATTGATTTGGGGATGAGACACAAGGTGCATTGGATCAGACGCCCGCTGGCATATGTCACTTGCGCATGGGGCTGAACGCTTGGGGCGGGAACCACGCCACCGGCACTCGCTGTTCTCCTCTGTTTGGGGACATTGGACCTGGCTGGGAGATGAAGTGTGTTGCCATCCGTACGTGGCGCGTGGCCCATCTCGCCGAACCTCCCTCCTCATTCGCTGGCCCTTGACGCTCTGTCTTTCCCATGCAGCCTAAAGAAGGACGCCTACGAGATTGAAATTCACCGGCTCCTGGGGTAAGTGTGTTCTGCATCCCATGGCCTGAAAGATGAGGGCTGTAACAGGGCCTGCCAGTGCTTTGGGATTCACAGGGGTAGATCGAATGCCATCCTCTTGGAGAGACATTCCCTCTGGGGCACCTGGCATTGGCCACTGTCAGAAGACAGGATACTGGGCTAGATGGACCCTTGGTCTGACCCAGTAGGGCCTTTCTTATGTTCTTATGAGGGATGGAGGTCATAAGGTGGTCCAAGCCTTTCCTCCGGCAGGCCGGCGTCGGCTGGGACCCCATGTGTATCGCATGCCAGGGGGTGGGTGGGCGCCCTTGGTTGCCCACTCACCAGCCCTGTGCCCCATTTCAGCGAGGCTGCAGTTCTGGATCACAGCAAGAACCCATGCGAGGACTCCTTCCTGCCCGACACCGAGGGCAAGACCTACGTGATGTACATCAGGATGGAGCAGGAAGCCGACTTCACCACCTGGACTCAACTTGCCAAGGTGACTCCCTGCCCGGTCCCCATGTGACTGCAGCCCTCCCGCCCCCCCAGATTCACTTGGGCCCGAGCCTCAAACTTGGCTCCAGCCCTGCGCAGTGGGGGCCGACTGTGCACCAAAGATACCAGAGCACGTGTGGTCAGGTCCCCGGGAGGAGGCAGCTTTCTGGGCTGGCTCGCGCATTAGGAGCCGGGGTTACTTGCTGGCTGCCGGGGGGAAGGGGAGGGAGCGTGCGGCTCTCCCCAAGCAGCCATGGGAGGAGGAGTGGGATTTGCAGCGTGGTCAGCGTTTCCATCGCTCCGCCGAGCAGATCTGCAGCCCCAGAGCCGCAGGCGGAGCGTGGCAGGGTGGGCCGCGGTACGTGCCCTCAGCTCTCTGTCCGCCGCTCCCCTCCTAGTGCCTCCACGTCTGGGACCTGGACGTCCGCGGGAACCACAAAGGCTTGTGGCGTCTCTTCCGCAAGAAGAACCACGTCCTGGTGGTGGGCGTGCCCGCCTCCCCCTACTCGTGAGTATGGCCACGCCCCCCTGGGGGAGGGGGAGGGGGCGCAAGATCCCTGCAGCGCCCCATGAAAGTGCCGGGCTAGCGGGCTCCCCTCCTGCACCCACAGCTGGGTCCTCTCGCAAAGAAAACCCTGGTGGGTCCCTGCCTGGGGAGAGGGGAAAACCCCCTCCAACCTCTTAGAGCCGAAGGCTCCGTATTAACCCCATAAATACCACTCTTGAGCAGAGTCCCAGCTGCTCCCTGTGGTTACAGGGATCTGCCCCTTTCTCCCCCGGCGCGGCCTGGGCCTGTACAGCCCCCGGTGCGGGAGGGTCCCACTTGCAGCCCCTCAAGCGCTCCTGTGTCTGACCAGCTGGTCCCTGCAGGTCGAAGAAGCCCTCCACGGTGACCCCGATCTACATGGAGCCCCCCGCCAAGGAGGAGGTGGCCGGGCAGGTGGCAGCGGCAGAGCAGACGTGAGCCGGAGAGGTCTCCACGGCACCACCGCACACAGAGAGGAGAGGGGGCAGCGCTTGGGAGAGGCTGGGTACTTCCAGTGCGGGTGGGGTAGGGACTCCGCTACGCCCCAGGATGGGCATGTGCTCCCCAGATGGAAGACGGGGCACAGGACCCTGCCCCTGCCTGGGGACTGGCTGCTGTCTCTATGGGACCCCGCAGCGCTGCCCTGTAGGATGACACCCACACGGGCTCTCTTTTTAACACTGACTCTTTACTAACTTTGCCGCCCCCCTTAGGAGGCGGCATTTTAAATGCACTGGCTCCTTTGAGGCCCTCTCTGCCCCACGGCGGGATGGCAGGGGAATTTTGTAGCCCAGGAAGTGCTGATGCCCTCGGCCTGGATTTTATTTATTAACTCTTGTGTGGCTGGCTCGGCCTGGGCCAGGCTCTTCCATCCGACGGCTCCGCCCTGGGCCGGCAGTACCCTGGAGGTCTGAGCCAAGGTGGGTGAAACGCCTTGTCCTCTGCCTGGTTTGTGGGGCAGAGAAGGGACGTGGTACGGCCCAGCTCTAGAGAGGTTTGGGGATGGCACTGGTGAAAGGCATCTGGAGGAACAAGGATCGGGGGAAATGTGGCCTGTCTCTTTAAATGGAATTCTCTCTTCCCCCCCCCCCCCACAATGGATCAGTGGATGGCACCATGTGAGAGACCCGGCTTCAAGGCGTCCCCGCCCGGCCACCGATGTCGTGACTCTTCCCAGTGCAAGCTCATGCGTGGCAGCCAGTGAGCGACACGGATTAGCCTCCCGCTGGCCGTGGTGCCGGAGCAGAGAGACGGGAGCCAGCTGGGGTGGGGGGGAGAAAGAGCCTTGCAGAGTGGGCGCTGCCCTAGTGTGTGGAGAACAGCCCCTGCCCGTGCGTGGGCCCATCGGTTGCTGCTCAAAGCTTGAAGAGAAGACGGCAGCAAGGGGGCTGGGAGCCCGGCAACTCCACCGCAGAGAGCTGCTGCGGCAGGCTCCCGTGTGCCGGAGCGGGCCGCGGCCTGCTGTGATCACTGCTGGTTCCCAGTGGTACTCGCCCACCCTGCCGGGCACCCTCAGGCCCCCTGCGCTGAGCGGGGTTGGGCTGGCTCTGAGGAGCGGTCACGGGACGCCGCTCGCAGGGAGGCCGGGATCTGTGCTCTCGGGGTGGGGGCGGCTGTCCCCTCCGGCCCTGAGCCCTGCCAGCCTGATTGAAGGTACGGAAAAGACGGACGTTCAGGGACGAGGAGGGTTTGGGGTTCCCCTCCCCACTGCCTGTGCCTTAGCTGAGGTCCCACAGGGCGGGGTGGGATGAGTGACCCCAGCCTGTAGATTCCCCCCTAACTGTAGCCAGCGGGAGCTGGGAGCAGCCCAGCAAGCGACGCCCCCCGGTGCCAGTTTGATCTGAGTCCTGTAGGTCCCCGTCCTGGTGTCGATGCCTATATAGAGATGATTTTTAATTCCCTTCCTGCCGATCAGATTTGCAGGAGCTGGGTAACTTGTGAGCTCTGGCTCCGTTCCTCGGGGCGGGGGAGCTGGGAAAGGCCCCACCCTGCGAACTCTGCTTTGAATTGGTTCGAGCTCTGGTTCCATGTTGGGGACAGGCAGCGCCATGCTTGGATCAGGCACCCCCCAGCCCTGCCCACTATGGGATCGTACCCTCAGCACTTCAATTCCCCGGGCTGGGTTCCAGACCCATAGCTGACGAGACTGTGCACTTGTTGATGGCGGACGTGGAGGCAGATGGCTGTGAGCAGAGCGCCAATGCACTATAATTTGGGATGAGGGGAGCTGGGGACTCTGGAATGAGACCTGTAGGATATTGGTTTGTTGCAGCCCAGGCATGCAGGGAGAAGGGCCAAGACCAAGTGCCTAACTTCCATTGGTTTCAATGGGAGTTAGGCACCTCAATAGTCTTGAGGTCTGGACCAGAGTCCTTGCCCGCTGTTTGGCCCATGCTATGCAAGTTGGCAACTAGCGGATCTGGCGTCCGCATTGCTCGCAACTGGCCGTCTTGGCTGCAAGGGCAAGGGTCGAATGGGGCAAGCCCGTGGGGCATTCGTGCCGCCGCTGCCTGTGCTGTTTGTGCAAGATTCTGCTCTCTTCTCCAGCCTGCCGTTCGCCACGCATCTCCCTCGCCGCCGCCACGGTTTCCCAGGTACGTTGGGACGGTCCCTGGCTGGGGCTGTCCACATTCTGTGGCACCGGTGAAGGGGGAGGAGCATCAAAGGGGCCTGATGATTTTAAAGGCACGTGTGGCGAAAACGAGCGATCATTCGGAGCAGCTTGGCTGTACTGAGGATCGAAACCCACCCCGGATGAGCCTCCAATCCCCAGGCAGTCTCCTGCGCAGAACGCTACGTTAACTTATTTATTTATTCGACTGGAGGGATGAGGTTTTGAAACAGGAAGGCGCCTGGGGTCCTCCTTTGGGATTGCTGTCAGAGAGGGGTTTCCCACGAAGCAGATGTTGGGGCGTTGCATTGTTCCATTCGGTTCTCCCTCGGCCAGTTGACTTTTTGGCAGGGTTACGATGGCTTGTGGTGCTTCTCTTTTCACCCTCAAAATATACGGCAGTACCTCACTGGGTTAAACTCGGAAGCCCACGCACAGGTGATGGGGGATTTTTGCAAACTCTTAAGGAAATGCGCACACACAATTGACCCAGCGAATGTACCACGAGTGCTGACTGCTCCTTTGCTGTGCCGTAGCGAATGCTCCGTAGCGTGCTTTGCCAAGACCGGAAAGGACCCCTTAGAAATGTGAGATCGCGCGACAGCGCTGTCTCTGCCGCTGGGTCTCCGAGAAGTGGTGGGGGCTACTGCGGCTCTCCTGTCCTGGTGGTGTGCAGTGACCGTTCTGAACCCCGGAGTGATGCTTGAAGGCTGGGTGTGTCCTTCTCTTCTCTCTAAGAACCCCATTTCCCCCACCCCTCCTTCTTGCCTTTTGCAGGCAAACTTTTAAATAAAGACCCTCCCTTGTTTTACAATCGCTTGCAGGTTTTGGCGCTGAACTGCTGCTAATTCCACTCTTGTTTTGTAATCGGTTTAAACCTGTGGAGCGGAGGAGCTGGTTCTTTGTACACTGAAATAATGTGATTTGATTGCTGGTGTCTCCTGGTGGGTGGGTTTTTTGTTTTTTTGTTTTGTTTTGTTTTTTTTTTCCCCCTCTTACTACCTGGTATCGTCCGGGGGAATCCTCCTCTAATCAATCTTTCTCCAGCCGGCTCCCCCTCTGTTCTAACCAATGGCGTTGCAGTGCACAGAATGGGATGGAAAGGCCCCATTGACTTCATTTGATAGTGTTTGTCCTGCCCCATTGAAGCCAATGTACTGTTGCCTTCAGTTGTAACAGGATTTGACTCTGGAAAGGGGTCGCAATGTGTCTGGCTCTGCAGCGCCTCAATAGGGCAAACTTTTCTTACCCTCCTTCCTTGAAAACTATCCGCTTTGTGCTGTCAGCCTCTCTCTCTCCCTCCCGACTGCCCCAGTCCATCCGGCTTGGTCTGAGGGGCTGGCCGGCCCTGGCTTGCCCAGCTGCAGGTGCTGGGTGCAATGGGGTGGCAGGACAGGGGCTGTGTGAGGGATTGGCGCTTTCTGAATCCGATTGATCTTTTTTTCAAAATAAATCTTGCAGTCCTGTTCACCCTTGTGTCTTTCGCCTCCATCGCCGTGGGGGTGCTTGTCGGGTTCTCTGCATGACCCCGCCTGGTCCCAACCTCTCGCTGATCTGGAGGCCACGGGGAGAGAAAAGGGGATGGGGGCAGCTGCGTGCCCTTGCTGGTCAGGCCTTTCCTAGGCTCTGAGACACTTCCTGGGCAGCAGGGGGAAGAGAAGTGGATCCAGACTGACTGGTGAAGAAGATGGCTCTTTTGGATGAAACGGATGGATCGAGCCCACCAGGGGGAAGGGTGAAAGAACGTCCCAGCCAAACTTTTGTTGTTTGGGGGGGGGGGGGGGGGAAGGATGTTGTTTTTTAAGACGATACCCTTATTGTTACTGGTCCAGGATGTGGGTGCGTTGAAAGAGGACGATAGGATGCTCTGGTGGGCCTGGGGCAAAGGCTAAGAGGATTCCTTATAGGAGGAGACCCTCACACCCCTTTTAGGTAATCTCTTCTGTAATCACCCCCCACACACAAACACACACATGTGCAATGGGTGGGGGGGGTCCTTGTACCCTTCCATTAACTTCTCCCAGCTCCCCTGGGAAGGAGGGCAGCGTTGTCTCCGTTTTAGGGCTGGGGAGCGGAGATGCAGCGAGAGCCGGCAACTTGCCGAAGGTTCACACGCAGCAGGGATCAAAGGTGGGTCGCCCAAGTCCCAGTTGAGGCACTGAACCGAAAGGCCACCCTTCCTCCGTCAGAAGCATCCTGCTTAGATCAGTAATTCCCATGTGTGACAAAATGCATCCCGTGTATCTCTGACTGCCCTAGGGGGAGATCCTGAATGGATGTCCAAGGTATGCCATACTAATCTGAAGGGGTCGGCTTTCCTGTATGAACAGTCTACATCCCTGCAGCTTAAGCAAACGGCATGTGATCCAGAGGAAGAAATGGGGCCTGGTCATGTTGCACTGTATTTCCTTTGGTGGCTATTGCATGGGGGTGGGGGAAGGGGCGGGGAGGGGTACACCTGCTCTTCTAACCCAAGAGGGTGTCTCCATCTGAAGAGACCCCGCAACCGGTAGCGGTTAGCGTCTCGTGTTGGCTTGGATCTTCTCTTTCCGCTCTCTACAGGCCGGACACAGCCCGGCTCTGAGACTTTACAGCAGTGGAATTGCTTAAGGAAGAACTTGGCAGGCCTTCCCCCAGGGAATTTCTGGGCAGCTCTGCGGAACGTCTTCTGCAGGGCTTCCCAGGAACCGCCATGCACAGCAGCGCCAAAACAGAGCCGGCTGCAGGGTCAGGATATCAGCTTCCCCACGGGCACATGGGGGGGAGCTCAGTGGGGCAATGGGCTTCAATGGACTCTTGAAAATGACGTGATTCTGCTTGAGAGCCTCAGACCACCTTCCTGGTTAATCCCCCTGAAATCTAGCACGGCAGGGACGGCGTGTGGATGGGGCCAACAATAGACTCTGCTCTTTTAAAGGCAGGAGAGTAACTCAGCTGTCAGGGTCGTTGCCTCAGTGTGGGTCTTGGCCACGGCTGGGGGCCTCTGGACTTAGGCTGTGAACCAAGAGATGGCCCATGCATCTGACGAAGTGGGTATTCACCCACGAAAGCTCATGCTCCAATACTTCTGTTAGTCTATAGGGTGCCACAGGACTCTTCGTCGCTTTTTCCAGACATGTTTGTCTGTCTGTCCTAACCAGAGGAAGCCACCAGAGGTCCTCAGAGCCCTGTTGAGTCTGGGCGTGGCCCGCAGCCTGATTTCGTGTGGGTGTGGTTGTGCTTTGTTGTTCCTGGAGGGTGGTTTTTCTTTTCCCACCCTACGTGGTTTGTTTTCCCTTACGGTGAAACTGACCACTCAGCCGCACAGTCACAGGTTTGTCACAGGGCTACGGCGTGAGGTCATCTCTCCCGCCGCCCCCGGGTCCCCAGGAGCTGGAAACCACCAAGCCCATGCGGGCGGCTGCCTCTGAGGCAGGGCCCGGCTCTGGCTGCAGGAGGGAGAAGAGGCAGCTGTTGCTGAACGCTGAGTTCCTCCA